ATTGGTAATCCTATCACAAATGGTGGTAGATTATTCATATTAGCTTATTTTTAAATCCTCGCTTATTCGGTATTCAGCTCTCTTTTTAAAGCGATATTTCGTTTTTCCTTCCCGTCTGGTCAATTCAAACTCAACGATAATCCGAACCGACATTCTAGCAAAAATCAAAATATCTTCGTTTTTAACCTTTGCTTTAAAATCTTGTATAAGGTACATTTTAAATAAAACTGCCTGTTTTGGCGACATTGCCGCCAATTTCCACGGCTGGTATCTCCAGTCCTTTGGATTAGATTTGGGTTCTCCTACATAAAAATCGTAATACAAAAGAGGGCCCATATACAAAAAAAAAATCCTATCTAACAATAACATAAATTTTGCCTATAATTTATATTATGTACAAATTATTAAAAACACTAATCCATTCCACTTTTTTTATCCTCCTCTTTTTTCTCTTCTTCACCCATTGAAGCGTCTTTCTTTTTCTCTGAATAGTATAAAATCAAACCTATTAAAGCGAAAATTAAAGCTATAAGCCCTAGAACTAATCCCAAAATATATAATGTACTTATTCCAGCAATAGCACCATAGATACCAAAAATCGCAGCAGGAACAATTAGGATAAGACCTATTACACTAAATAAAGTAGAGGTTTTCATCCCTTTGCCTTTATCTAATTTAGATTTTATTACCTTCTTTTTAACCTTTTCTCGCTTTTCTACTGGTGGAGCATCAACCGATGCACTATAAGCATAAATTTGAGGTAAAAACACAAAAGCCAAACACAATATAATAATTCTCATAAATCCTGTTTTTGGGAATAAAAAAAGGAATAGAGTATTGGCAGCTTGCAAATCGTCATACGGAGATATGAGATAACTACCAATACTCTATTCCTTTTCTTGAATAGATTCTCTCCGTATTCTATGTTGTAAACGATTTGCAATACAAGTATATGGCTTATATTTCAATATTCCAAAAAAACAACTAAAAAATTTTACAATAAAGCGTAAGCGGTTTCAAAACGACTATCTGTCAAAATATCTACACCATTCTCAAAGCGAGCGATTGCTTGAGATAATTTCTTTAAAGTCGGTTTGTCAGCTGTAAGTACTTGATTTGCACCAAAGCCTGTTTGAGCTATCAAATATGCTGTATAGGTTGGGTTTCCAACGTCCCAAAATTGAATTATCTTGGTTGGGGTATCTCTACCCATGCCGATATAGTTCTGAAGCAATTTAATCATGGCTCTAGCACCGTAAGGGAATGATACAAATTGCTCAAAAGTACCGTCAGTATTTGCTGCTTGAATTTTCCCCTGCCATGCAGAATTACCTATTTTGATATTACCAGGATTATTGTTCCTGATGCCTCTAGGATTATTGGTACCTAAAAAAGATTCGTTGATGTCGCCCATGGGCGCACCTGGTGGTGTGCCGCCTGGAGGGATAGTACCACTACTACCACTATTATTTGTATTTGTCGAAGCAGTAGCTTTAGGCATGAATAACCAAATCAAACCTACTACAAGCCCTGCTTTTATAATTTTATCATTCTTAGCCATTTACGCTAGTTTAAATTGTGGTAATTGGATGTATAAATTATTCCCTGGGCAGCTAGTCGCAGCAAAATCTCTATGCCCGTACACTTGTAGGCTCTGTGGCAATTCGTTGCGTAAATAAGCAATTAAATTGCCCAAACTAGCCATTTGGGCAGCTGTGGGCTGTTCTACCTCAAAATTGCCACTTAAACAGATTGCTACTGTTTTAGTGTTTTGATTTTCAGTGTTATAGCTTATATTTGTCAATGGGTTTCCCATTATTATTTTGCCGTCTTTTTCAACAACAAAATGATACCCAATGCCGGGCCAGCCATGCGTTAAAACATGATATTCCGCAAAATCTTCCGCTGTTTGGTTCGTAGATGCACTATGATGCACCACGATTTGTTCTATTTGGCTTAAATCCCTTGTCGCATACTCATCTTGAGTGCTTCTCATTAGCGACCAATCGCTGTATCTATCATCTATCTCTAAATTAGTTATACCGTTTTTTTTAGGTTTAACTAGGACATACAAAGCTATTGCACCAAAAAAGAATAATGCTGCTTTGGATTTAGATTTAGATTGTGATCTAGATTTCGCCATTTTTACAAATTATTTGCCCATCCCGCACGCTGTCTAACGCCCTGATGCCAAGAACAAGCTCCAGAGCCTTTACGGTTCGTATATTTTCCATCACGACATTGTACAGAATACTGCTGACTTGGTCTATCTGTAATGCCTGACACGGTAAAATCACCGCCTAAAATTTGGTTCAGTTTGGCAATTGTAAAGCCTTGTAATTGCGTTTCTGTATAGGGAAAATCTTCATCATAAGAGAGCGACACAGTCAAAGTATATTTTGTCATAATTTGCTCTATTATGTCCGCTTTTTGGGCTGCTGTATTTTCGATAATCGTAGTAGTCAAACCAAGCCCTGCACTTAGCAAGGTTAGGAATAAGTCTATTCCTTGTTGAGTAGAAATATCAATATTGGGGTTTGTAATGCCATTTGCAGCGGCAGCGGCTTGTAAGTCGCTTATTTTAAACCATTTGCCGTTATACTTGACGTATCCTAGCGATGGTAATTCTGATTCAGGCACATCTCCACGACCAGGAACAAAGAAATAGTTTTCTTTGGGTGCTTGATTGAAATATAAATAACCTCCTAACAAGGCTACTGCAATTAATAAGTTTTGATTTTTCATAGTCCTTGATAAATTTTATATGTGCCAGCTGCGATAGCAGCAGCAACCAAAAAAGGAAATACTTTTTTTGTTGTATCACTTACTGTTACAACGGTTTCTGTAACATTTTGAGCCGTTTGAACAATGTTTAGTACAATGTTCGTTAAGCTGCAAGTTGTTGAGGATAATAGATTAGAAACGTCTATATCTTTGCTTGCCAAATATTCGACAAAACCGCAGTCAAAAGCACAAAGTGAGGTTTGTGGACATCCAGTCCAGGTACATTGATTGTCGGGATGATTCCAAGCCTGTTCCCATACTGAATTGGCTGAATAGGTATCACTATAATAGCTTTCTAAGGCTCTATGCCAGTTCTCCCATTCTGTACACGTCCAAACGGGCGCAGCGTTCCACCAGTTAGATAATGTTTCGTAGATTGGTGTAGAATCCCATCTGATTGGCGTGGGCCCTGATGCAATTTCAACGCCTTCTGCTCTGTTTGGAATAAAAGTAAGCAAGCTAAAAAACAAAGCCTGTGGACTAGGCAAAATGTACAAATATGGATTGCCTTCTACATTAAATTCATTCCAAACGTCTGAGGCAGCATCGGCAATATTTCCGTATTCTCTTGTAAGAATATTGAATCTATCTACCCAGTGCTTTCTTTGTAGTTGTGCTAATTCTTGTATGATTACAATTTCATTCATATTTATAAGCTATTTTTCCAATTTCTGCCATATAAGCCATTGAGGGGCGTATCGTTATCGCTTGGCGAATTTCTATCGGGCAACTCTTCAGGAACTTCTTCAGGTAGTTCTAAATAGAGATAGTTGTTTTTCTTTGTTGGTGTTTTTTTATTCATGTACAGAACGGCTGCAACTAGAACCACGGGAATTACTATTTTTTTATTCATTGCTTAGATATTTTGGATTGTCTTCTTCTATGCTTGTTACTTGAAAATTAATCGCACCTGCTCCGTATCGCAATTGCATGATTTGAGAAATTGGAGAACCACCATTTATCTCAAAATCTCTAATTCCGATTACTGGAGGTATTTCAATTTCACCACCGCCTACATTTATAAAAATCGAAGCCGCTCCAAGGTTATACATTTTTAGAAAAATACAATTTTCTAAAATTATTTGTTTTTTTTTATCGTTATTGAGTGTTTGGACGACTATTTTAGACATTGTTATTTGGCTTCTTTTGTTTGAAATTCTTGGTATTTAGCTTGCAACATATTCAACATACTTTTTGCAGTTTCTTCGTCTGTATGCTCCAATACATAAGCAAGTTTATAAATAAGCTCGTGAGGCTTTTTAACGTTGTTTTTGAGCATTTCTATCGCTTTATCCAATACAACATCATCTTTTAAATCATGCTTTTTGTCGGGTTCATGCTTTCCAATTTCTTCTTCTTCGTCCTCCTCCTCCTGATATGGTATTTGACCGCTTATTTTATATTTTGCAAGCTCCATCAATTCGGGTTTAATTTCGTTGATAAAGTCAATAAAAGGCGATGTTTTAGAATTTTCGTAACCTGCAATTTTATCCTCTAGGAGTGCTATTTTCTTTTCATACTTCATCCTCTTTTCTAGCTGCTCCATGTCTTTTTGCTGCTGAATTTGAAGCGATTGAATCATAAAATTCATGCTTTCTTCTTTCGCTGCCATCCGTTGCTCGGTTTGATTTTGCAATAAGCCAATCATAGTCATGGCAATAGAGCTATCTGCACCCATAGCAGGTAAATTTCCAATTCCCATCACATTTGATTTATAAAAAGGATTTGGAAAATTACAAACGGGCCCTATTTCGCCTTTTTTTGACCTCAACCTTACTGCATAATACTTGATATGTGGTGCATTCTGCATTTGTTCAACCAAATATTCTACACTTTCTTCAAGAGCTTCAGTATGATAGTTTTCACAAAAAACAGCTGAATTTTTCGCAGGGGCAGCCGTTAAACTTGTAACTGGGTACATTGTCCAATAACATGGAAGGTCTGCATCCTCGCCTTTTCGCTGCGATGTAACCCAACCATGAACCCTTGCTTTTACATCATCGTAGCCGTCCATTTATTTTTGTTTTATGTAGAAAAATGTAAGTAAATAGGAAGTATTTGCAAGTGGAATAGTCTTATCGCTTGCATAAATTTCACAGTTAGACCAATCAAAATCTTTTGCTAGTGTTGGCTCTAGTGGAAAGTAACTAAATCCTAGACGGTCAAAAGGTTGTAAATCAGGCAGAGGGAAATTTTCTAACATCAATCTACTTCCAACCTTCATATTTAAAAAAGAAGCTCCTAAATAGGTTGCGCTCCGTATTGCTGCATTTCCGTTGAGCGTTGTAAATTGAAAATCGTTTATACGCATTCCTACCAAGATTGCTTTCTGTGGCAGGGGGTTTCTACCATTGTTAATTTGGTATATCCCAACACCAGCTTTTACAGGTACTTCTACATTAAATTTAAACAACCCTAAATATTCAAAATCATTATCAAAACACATATTCATTTCAATAGGCTTTTGACAATCAGTGATATAGTAAATATTTAATTCAATATCTTCAGTACCACCGATTACAAATCCTGAACGAACTTGTATTTGAGATTCATCCCAATTTATCAAATTAGGCTCTATAAACAAATCATAAGAATTATGTACATGACTGTATTCACGGCTCAAAGTGAATAGAGAACTTTGATAAATTAAATTATCGCGATCCAAATTATTTTTCATCAAATTGATATAGCTATTTCTAGCAAATAAATCGCTTATAATTGGTCTATCTAGCCTAGAACGAACAGTTGCACCTCCAGCAGTCCATCGGGATGACATACCTATTATTTTTGCATTTTCGCCAAAATTTTGGTCTTGATAATCACCTAGGTTGTAAGTATATACCCCTGCTTCTGTTGGAATTGTAATCGTTTTGGTACTAAAACCGTGAATTGCCGTTTTCATAATTCTTTGTAGATAGTGAAGGTTCTTAAAAAAAGAACCTTCACTTATTGAAAAATAAAATTTAGATTGTTTTAGCAGGGCAATTAACTGCACTCCAAGGCTCTGCCAATTTGAAAACATTGTATCCAGTCAAAAGAAGGACGATATATGTCCGCTCTGTCGCTGGGTCGCCGCCTGCACTTGCAGTATCTCCGCTTGCACCTGCAAAAGACACTTCTACACCATCAGAACCAACAATAATCGGACTTTCTGTCAAATCAGCGTATTCTGTATGTTGGTAGTAGTATTGTCCTTCCGTTTTGAATTGAGGTACTTTTTTCAAGTATCTTGCATCAAATTTGGTCAAAAGGCTATCAGAGCCGCTAGTAAACGTCAGCTGTGAATAATACATATTTTCCAACGCTTTGTATTGAGGTACGAAGCCAGGAGCCGTATATGTGAACACCGTTTGAGAAGGAAAATACAAAATATCTTGATTCTCAATTTTCTCATACACACCAGGAGAAATAAGGGGCGTTTTCAAAAATCCCAATGCGATGCCGCATGGGATAAATACGTCATTGTCAGCCACAACGATTTCTGAATTAAAATCTTTTGATTTGCTGCAAATGTCAAAAGTAGGGTTCAATTTGCCATTTTCGATTAGGAAATATTTACGCATTGTGCGTAACTCCATATCGTAATTTGCGATACTGCCTCCATTGCAAGATTTCAACATCTCATCTAAGAAGTCTGCAATTTTTTTGCGTTTGTTTTCAATCAACGAGGGCGAACATTCAATATTATTTACCAGTTCCATAGTTGCTTAACTTTTAATTTTGTTTTTAAATTTTTTGTCTAATATTATGAAAAGCAACTAATTAGGCTCTTCTGTTTTTTATAATAATTTTTTCGGTTGCGTTTTCTTTGTTGGTGTTTTTCGTCAAATCAATTGTAGGATTTTTCATTGCAGCCGCAATATATTTTTGTCGTCCGTTTTGCTGCTCTCCTGCAATATATTTTTGCTGTCCAGTTGTCGTTCTGCCTGCAATGCCCGCATCTGGGTATTGCCCACGAATTAATTGTTTGACACCATACACAGTCATACCAACGCCTGCACCTTTTGCGGCTGGCTCATTCCCCCACATCCAAGCTAGACCTAGACCGCCGATGGTAAATAAACCATTTCTCATCCTGTCTTTATCAGGTGTGGCTAATCCTGTTGTTTTCCGTACACCGTTTTCATCGTAAACGAGCATATTATCAACGTATGCAGCCGCAAC